TCTCTAATCACTGTATATTTTTATATCCATCATTTGGTTATGATTATGATCATATTTAAATTGTGATTAGGATTACATATGTATATATAAAAGAATTGTCTAATGAAACAAAAATCAACAAGGCGTCAAAATTGAGAGAGGCAGGTTGTCCAAAAAACTAGCAGCATTTAACTATTCTAAGGTCAAATATCAATGCTTCCACCACCCAATGTGGTGGATGTATGTGCATTGGGAATAGGTAGTGTGTACCCTGTTTGCTTATGGATAACTTTGGGTGTAGGTGTACTGTATCAGATACATGAAAGGTCACGGTATCCAATGGTGGGAATTAATAACCGACCGATAATTTTTTTTCAATTTAGGTTGATTATGAAATTATCTCTGTAGGATTTAATACCTCCTTTTCAAGATCATTTATTACAATAAAAACTTAAATAAAATATACTAATTAGTACTAAATTAAATATATACAACTTATGATAAAAATTGATTAAAATAAAACTAAAAATAACTATTTACATAAAGCATCGAAAAATTCGTCCGCATCGACGTCAGTGGGGAAAGTATCCAGAAGGCTGCAGCATTGCCACGTTGTATGGCGTAACTCCGCAGGATTAATAATTGTGAACCTTGAAAAAGAGTAACCTATGGAGTTTCTTGCTCGTTCTTCTCCATAGGAATCTACGCCTTGGAATGAGCAAATAGCTTCACTTTAAATTTATGTTTTTGTTGACGTTCAAAAGTGCCATTCTGGTCTAATTGAAATAAATGATTTTGACTTTGACTTCTACTTTGAATAACTTTATTGTCCCGTATTTTTCACATGCTACTAAAGTTAATCAGTACTCGTGATAATTATAGTATACTAATTATAATCAGTAAACACACGCAGTCGCTTCATCTACAGTCATTCATCAGTCTCTTTATGTCTATTGATGGAGAGTGCTATTGACTCGGCTCTTATTCAATACACACGTCCTCGTGTACGTCCACTTCGTGTGTCCTCTGTCGGATACCTCGTGCATGCTCGCCCGGTGCACATCCCTCTAATCTAAACAGTCGTAACTATTCATTATTTATTCATAAATATGTAGTTAGTGAACATTATTGTGATCAGACATCTCAATACCCTACAAGATGGCAACTCGAGCTTCTAGCATATTCAGATCCTCACCATATTCATCTATCAAGGTGTGCCAAAATCCTGTTTAATCAATTTCACTTAGGTACCATAGTTAGTTCATCGACATTTTTTTTCAATAACCCTTGGTACCTAGTGCAGCTGATAGAGTTTGTCGATATATGCGGGTCCATTAATGATTAATACTAGTTATCAAGTATATGTCTGGTTCGTAGTAGTGAGTGCGCGCAGCCTCCCCAGCCCCGCCCTCCTCACACTGCCTGGAGTGACGCCCCCGTCGCGATGCCTGCAAAAGACATCAACGGTCCGCGCCCTCTGTTGCTGTGCTAGCACTTAGCAGTGAACAGTGAGCAGCGCTGAGCACGACGCGACGTCTGCGTATATCTGGTCGTGTAGTCACCTGTTGCGCAGTGGCAACACGAACCATGCGAACCACTTCTTACAAATTAATAAAATAACAATGAATTCTCAAAAACAAGCTACCTACGTTGAAATTTGATAATGTAGTCTGAGAAACTTAGGCAGTCTCAGCTATTATTATGTAAATAGTGTCTTTACAACATTAACCTTAATGTTACCGGTTACTTCCGCTCGCTGGAGGTAGCTAACGTAAGGTAATGCTATGATAGACATACGTTGGTGAGCACAACTTTAGAAATGGTTGTTTGTGCAGCTGGCAGCAGGAAGGTTGGCAGAGCCGCGTCACACACGGCCGCAGCTGTAGCGTGTCTACATACACACATACAGTATCTTGTCCTTCACAAGTTATTCATATTTACGTTGGCATTTAATATTTTGTCTTAGAAATCTATAGTGGATTACTCGCGCTACTCCATGCGTAGCTTTAAAACTAAAATTTAACTAAGATGGTGATACAATCCTCTCCTGTAATCCCTCCGGCGTTATAGGCGCTATAGTAGAGCCTGCGACACCTGGGACGCTTGAGCCTCGGTGTACTGTCGCAGGTGTAGTGTTCGTGAACAGGCCGCGCCTGTAGCCTGTGCTTGCCGCGGCTGCAGTGTGCGTGTGCATGTCGTGCTGTGTCAGCGACCGTCGGAGATAGGAGAGGTGTTGGAACACCTCGCTCGAGTGGGAGATGATAGTAGTGTCGTATTATTTATAGACGGAGTAGTGTTGCTCGTATGCGTTGTTTGTTTACATGTGTGGGTGCGTGACGTGGCGTGTCGCCGCGCGACCTCCTCGTCGCTCTCGCGGCGTGCCACTGCGCGAGCGCACTATAAATACCGCGCTCTGTCATATCGAACAGCTACTATTATTATTTTCACTAAACATTGTCTGATGACCGCGAGTAAGCTAAAACATTCGCTGTATACTTGGAACTGTACACTGTGTGCAAAGTTAATTGTTGTGCATAGCGTGTATTGAGGTCATTCTCAGTGTCCATGGTGACTGATACAAATTAACCGCATTGTATTGTACCTGTTTTAGGTTCCTCTCACACCCCTTTCCTTCATCTCGTTCCCTATACCGCGTCACCCCTTATTATTACTTCCCGCTGCCTGCACGGTCCGAGGAGTCGTTATCCACCTTTCACATTTTAAATAATTTCATGTTCATACTAAGATAGACGATTCCCTTTCTGTTTCCCTATGCATAAATACCGGTAAACTCCTTGAAAATGCTACTTTATTCTTTAACTAGGTTTGACACTTTACTCGGACATAATTATCCTGCCCGAAAGCCATAACACCTCACCAGCGCTGGCCGGCGAGTATCGTGGCGCACTACTAGCACTACCAGTACTCTGCACAAGTAAGACCGGATTCACTTCCGAAGCAGAAGCAGGCCACATTATGTCAAACCCCTTAAATGTTTTCTTCATTTTAAGTAAATTATTGTTTCTACACATCTTTTATTTTCATATCCAAAGTGTTTTAAATAAAATATTGTTAATTATAATAAATTATCAATTGACTAGCGCAAAATGCTGACCTTGTTGGAAAGACTATTTCCAAAACTGTTAGTGTTGTAACAGAGCAAGGGCAATATTAGACATTCAATATTAAAACGGAAAGTAGTCCATCAGCAGTGCACGAGTTTGGTTTGATAAACAGTAGTGATCGACGGGTCAGTGAAGTAGGCACTGCACAATGGCACGCTGACACTGTACATGTGCACTGTAAACTATACATTGTTATGTAGAGGTATATGCCACCATTCCTACAGTTTTTTTAACAAACATTACATTTGCACAGATATTAAATTGTGATTGAAACAAACGCTTGCAGGAGGAGCACCCACCACCGGCACATCGTGGACCGTGTGTCGCCTTACAGTTCAGTGACATGACCCTTGCGGTGCACGATGGAGTTTCTTGCTCGTTCTTCTCCATACCAATAAACTCTCTCAACTCCTCGTCCAACCCGAGTGTCCTGCCACACCTTGTGCACCAGATATTAGCCATGCGAAGCAGTTGAGCGCCAAGAAATATGACACTTAACATATGACTCGATCTCGATACAGAGTTGATGTCGTGGTTGTTGTGCAGACGATGAGTGTTCTGCAAGTTACAACATAAATGGTTGGCCGTGTTTGTAAAGCTTGCTTTTAAAAATACAGTTCGCTGGTAACGGTCACTCGCATAAGAGAGGATTCTTAACGGCCGGCCGGGAGGCTTCGGACGCGTGGGCAGCGGGCGCGGCCGGGGAGGCAGGAGGGGGTGGAGGGGGCGTCAAGCTCGTTGCAAAGGTCAGGCGGCGTGCACCTGCGGCACGCATTGTTGGACCATTTATCACAATCGCTGCTACCACATTACCTACATATATTATTTCTCAGGCGAATCTCATCGTGGTAACACACTGACATTTTATTACTTATCCTTTTAAGACGGTTCTTTCTTGCGTGTATTTGTTGTGTGCGCGTAGGTATTTGTTCATTATAATAATAAACAGCGGTATTCTCGGCATGTTAAAGTCAATGCTACGAAGTACGAACCTGGCACCGGTCGCGTCGCGTTGTGTAAGTATGATGTGTGCTATAGAGGGTGGACAAGGTTCACTATTACATATACTTTGTGAGATATGACTAATTAATTAATGGCATTCAGAAATACTGGTGACGAGAGATAACTCTTTATTTTGTCATTATATATGTAGGGCCTGCCGGTGCCGTCACGTACGGCGCGGCGCGCGGCGGTCGTCGCGTATCTCTGTGTAATCGCTGCGTTATCGCACGATACTGCGATACTGCGCGGTGCGCGGTTTAGGATAATACGTGTTCCGATAGTGTTCGATAGCGTTGTTAGCGCCGACCTTATGATTTGATTTGGTAGCACGTCGACTTCTATATTGTAAATAGTTTTAATGCCTATAGGTATGACAAATATATTTAGGTACCTAGTGCACTTGTAACGAATCTAGATAATAGAAAGGCTTCGGCAGCACTGCGGTGCGCATTGCTCGGTCGTCGGTGTGCGCTAACAATCGTACCTATCTATGGCTATAAACTTACTTTGAATATTATGAAAAATAAGCGCAAGGAATTTTATCAAAATAAGTATTGGTGTATGTGTGGAGTGGCGGGTGTAGCGGGTGTAGCGGGTGCGGGGCGCGGGGCGCGGGGCGCGGCACACATGACAACAGTGCACACGGTCTCATGTCCATTTTGTGGATGGGCGGTCGGCGACCCCGGGCGGCCGTGGGCGCCGCGATAAACTTTATATATTCATACGCAGGCATGTGAGCTGCGCGCCTGTATCGGTGTATCGCCGGCCGGCTGGTTATGTCCGGTACCGTTACTTTTCTTGCTTTCAGATCTCGTTCGGTGTTTAATTCTTGTTTTAAAACTGGCTGCGCGACAGTGAACCGCCGGCTCCGCTAATGAATGTAGCCGCATTAACATGCGCCGCCAGGTGACCGCGCGCCGCCGCCTCACTGCCACACATGCCTCGCTACTTGCTGCCATCTACGACACTACCTTTGACATAAGGACCCACGTTCAAGTTAATTACAGTCAAAATAAATTGTGTATTGCTACAGCTGTAGGTACTGTCTACAACGGTGAGGGTAATTTACCAGTATCTACTCATCCCATATTACTCTATTGTCATGCTCATGAGTTGCTCATGAACACGAAGTCAGTCTTCATCTATGGTACTATGTCAGACGATGTACCCACGGTGGCTCTGACAACTGCACCCCGGAGGCTCACGCTCCTATCTATTAACTAGATGACACTGCAGCACTGTTGCCAAATATTTCCTACTTTTATGGCCTAAGTCTAAATGCCTACAGATAGTCCCACTTTGATCTACCAAGCCCGCCGATTTGAGTCCAAAAAAGAAATATGTCAACGATGCTTATTTGGTTGGTGGAATATAATCTAGTTTCGGTATATTCTACTCTATTCTCTATGCTCCAGAGTTAATATTTAATATTATTATTATACTCCACTGCAATATTTTGTGGTAGTTTACTTAATTGCAGCAAGTTAGTGAGTTTGATGGGGCAAAGTAGAGGTGTTTTTAATTTATATGTTTCAGCCACGAAGTAGCGCGGATGACTCCGGTCAGCACAGCGGGTTGCATCGTCGCATATACACTCACTCAGCCACCCGGCCCGTCCAGCCGGCCGATTGTTGGACGACTAGATTGTAATGTATTATTACAGTATTCAGTAAAATGTGATGTGGTAACTATGAAAATAAAATATTATAAAAGAATGTGGTTTTTCTTATCATAACTAAAAATGCGTAAGTCAAATGTACAATAATTCAATAACCCCCGATAGAAGTAGAGCTAGTTTCTGTGACAAAATACATATACGTGGATGTTGGGAACCATCGGTTGCAGAGAGTTCAAAGTATGAAGATTTTCTCTCAAATAAATACTAACGGTTGAGAAAAGCGATCATGTCATTCGTCTGCTCGTTTGACCTCATATACCTAAAAATTCGCTTTGTATGTTTGTCCTGCTCTTATTCCATATTGTTTAGGGTCAGCATAGTTTCTCCCCTAAAATTCAATCATAAACATTCAGAGTGATTTACCCAAAGCACAAAAATGCTACAGACTGTTTGTCTGCCCCCGGGCTGTATCTCATGAATCACGATACAAGCCAAACACCATAAGTTTATTAAATCTACACACACATATAAAATTGAAGGTAGTAGTAGCAGCAGTAGCACATTTATTACTATCCACTGAAGGTTCCCTGACAATACACATCATTTTTAACCGACTTCACAAAAGAGGGGCTTGAAGTCGGTTTTATTAAACTTTATAAAGTAAATACTCTATATTAGTAACTAGCGACTGTGACGCGGTTTTACCCGCTCTGCTCCTCGCTCCTATTGATTGTAGCGCGATGTTATATACCTTCCGCGATGAATGCACTATCAACTCTGTATACTACTATATCAGATCGGACCGGTAGATGCGGAGATTAGCGCATGCAAACAAACAAACAAACTTTTCAGCGTTATATACAGGGTGGAATTTTGTAATGCCACCTGAAGGGGAAGTACTCTTAATACTTTAGATAGAAAATTTTACTCAAAAAAACATTGCTTTATATATTATTATGAAAAAAAATACGGTATTCAAAGAATTTTAGAAACTCGCTTGCCGCACGCGGTAATCGAACCGACTAAAATCTATAAATGTTGCAGTCTGTACTTTTATTACATCGATCGTTAGGGTCAATAAGGATAAAATTTCGTTAGCAAACTTCATAAATTGAATGAAAAGAAAACAATGGTTAAAGCACTGAATGTATTAAGAGTTCCCTTCAGGTGGCATTACAAAATTCCACCCTGTATAATGAAGTACAAGATAACAACGCTTGAATATTGGGATACAACAACCGATTATGTCGTTAAATAATTATTTGAAGAAGACATTGAACACACAAACATTACTTTTCCAATATACCTATATATAGACAAATAATTTTCCGCCCGTGGTTTCACACTCGTGGTCAAAACCGTAACAAAAACTTTACATCTTAACTTTATTCAGGAATTTTAGATACTATCTATCTATGTATAATAGATATCTAATATATAAAAATAAGTCGGGTTTTCCTTCCTGACGCTATAACTCCAGAACGCACGAACCAATTGCCATGGTTTTACATTCGTTGGAAAGGTCTTGGGCTCCGTGAGGTTTATAGCTAAGAATGTTACAGTAAACGAAGCCATTTGGTGGCGAAACGGAGTTCGCCGGGTTTGCTAGTAGGTAATAAAACTGTGAAGAGAGAGATACTAAATTCTGTTCATTGAAAATATCAAAAAATCTGATTACGATGAAACTTGGTATGATTATACTTCAATATCCTAAACATAACCCTGGGTAGTTTTTATCCCGAAGGAGTATATACATGAAAAGACAAACTTATTTGTGCGGCTCAATCCCTAGACACAGTTACTGTACCAAACACAAATATACGTTTATCAATGCCCGCAGTGGACTTTATGCTGTACCTGTAAGGCCGATGGTTGAAATTACCTTGAACCGATATAATAAATGTGAGTTCATGAGTATGTTTGTTAGTTTAGTCACATAAAAACGGCTGAAGGGACCGGGGTGACATTTGGAACAGAGGTAGACTATGGCCTGGAGTAACACATAGCCTACTTTTTACTCTCCTAAGATTGTACGAGTCGCGGGTTCGATCCCCGCTCGGAACAATTCATAGTGTGATGCACATATAATTGTCGTTCCGGGTTTGGATGTGACGTGTATGTGAAATTGTATGTTGCACCCACGACACAGGAGAAACACCTAGTGCGGGACAATATGGGGAACATGAATAAAGAGCTACTCGCCTTACTTCGAGCAAGAACTCGAAAAGGTTATCACTTTCTATCTGTGAGTTCCGATAGTACTCTTCAGACATATTGAAGCCCTCGACACAAGCTATATCTGTAATCTGATTCCAATAGGAATACTACATACTAATAAAGTTGGATAGGATTAGTATTTCACTACAATATACACGGCAGCATGTTTGATGTCATTGCTAAAATACAGGTTTGTGACCCGCGGTAGCGTCTCTTATGATACGTTTACTATCGGTGATATCAATAGGGCACTCGAGATGTATTGAGAGTGCCGTATACTTAGTAGTAACTTGGTAGGTGCAAGCGACAAATGTTAAAAGATTATATAAGAGTAGAGAGGGACCGGCGTGTGTCAGGATCAGCAGCGAGGTATCGAATACGTGGCGAATGGAAGCGCCACCAGTCGGCGCGCTGAGTGAGCGCAACCAGTCGCAAGTGTCGTACACCGAACATTGGCGTCTATTAATAGACGCGCTGCGCATGTGTGCGTGCAGGTGCAGCCTCCACTCGTCGGGCCGCCGCCGCAGCCTTGAGCACCGACCACCGACCACCGAGCACTGCCAGCCGACAGAGTCGTGTGTGTCGTCTGTACTGTACTGGAGGGTACTAGCACATGGTGTACTCTGGTGTCTCGGGACCTGCAGTACTGGCACTGGCAGTTCAGTCATTGCAGCTAGTAGTTAATGTCACCTACACCGCTACTGGGTACTGGGCCCTGCCTGTCCACCATATCACATTCAATAATGTTCTAAATGTAGCTTTTTTTATTTAAAATAAGAAGGGAAGTATACACCACATACATAACATACATAGTTATAGCGCAAGGAGTAACTCGGAACGGCAATAGAAGAACCCTTTGTATGTTACTATATTTAATAGTATTCCTCGTGGTGTGTACATTGGACACATTGCTCGGTAGGTGAGAGTGATGGGTGTAGGTGCGCGGGCGCATGACACCTGCGGGTGTGGCAGGTAGCGCCATCTAGTGAGCCTCACTTGCGATTTAGCAAATAACTGACTTACTATTTTGGCGGACGATAATTTGAATGAATGAAACTCCATTGAACCCGCGACACAGAGCGACACGGTGCCTGCAGATGGAAGGCGCGCGACGACACGGCGGCCATACGGCGACGTCAGCCGCGACCCCGAGCCACGCATTAACATTTAAATTTATGTCACTATTAACGTGCCGTAAACACCGCTTTAGTCGAATCACTGTCTTATTTGAATATTCGAAATAAAATCAACCGCTCGACTTCTCCTTGCTTCCTCTAACCCTGCCTCAATATGTCAGCTCGGAGGAGTTGTGTCCTTGATCTTACAGCTAGTCCGACGTCTTCCTGCACTTGTACTAATGTATGATTGTATGTTGGCACATCTACTGAAGTAACTAATTTACCACGGCGCTGGTGTGCACCACATCACATACTATTCTGTGCGTCTTTGTGATCGCTCGCATAGCACACGGGGAACATGTAGTTCTGGGTTCAACGCCGCTCGAATAAGATTATACTCCAGCTATACCACTGCCTATCTATTTAGGAATAAGAAATGTGTTATTTTATGTAAATGAATAATTAGTAATAAAATCTGTGTTATGCTTAAACCACAAAATACACAAATTATAAATATGTAGAAACATTGAATTACTAGGTTTGTATCTTACTACGTTTGTAATTAAAATTTTTTGCTCATTGTCTTCTACACAATATATACAGAACATAGTTCAATATTCGACAATTGCTTCCATTTAAGAGAGAAAAGGTAAACAGAGGTTCTTTAATCAAATATGATAGCTGAAAATAAGGCAAGCGGGCGGCGCGGACCGCGGGCGGACGCTCGCTCCAACATTAGACATCAACGCACGAGGCGCGCGACACAGCGGACTACAGCGCATTGCTATGTAGTGGTATGGATACTGTACTCCGTCTCAACATTATTTTCAATTCCTTAATTCAACTTAGTTTCCAAAATCTTTAATACAAGTACTTACTTACATGTATACAAGCAGTGTTTGTGTAGAAGCATTCGGGCCCGGATTGCGGGCAACTGTACAAATATTGATAAGCGAGTATTTGCTATTCATTAGGGAGCGCTCGTAATGACATACTTGTAGATAAAGTCGACTGCTCACTGACCGTACCCACTGCCATAGTAGCAAGTTGAGAAGTTACTCATTTTCAGGTTGAACAGAATAGTTTGTGTATGAGGGTCGGTGTTGCACATTACTCTACTATCAAAGTAGGTGTATCGTATTTAAGTGCTTAGCTACTTAGCCTAAACTTAGCTTGGAGTCCGTATCTTCCAGTGGACACACCGTCCACTACTTTCTATCGTTCACATTTAGTTCTTTGCGTGGCGACTGCAGCACTCCACGTTATCATAA